TAGAAGAAATATCAAGAACATGTGATACTAAGATCAACAAGATGATTCTTCTATTAACAAATTCAATTTATGGCAACGTAATCAATGGTCATCTTGAGATATCAAAACTTCTAATTTTTGCACTATTACTTTTCGAAAATGAACTAGACTTTCCTACTGATATAACTGAAGATGGTTATGATAAATTTAAAAAGAAAGTAAACAAGATATTCAAAGATTCTCACTGGGATACAGATATTGCACTAATTAATTTGGAAAAAACTGGTAGTTATTCTATCGCTATACCTTTTGGTCAACAAATTGCTAAAAATCAAGTAATTATCAATGTAAGAAGACGCCTTAATTTAGCTGTAGAATTTTGGATATGATGCAAAACTTTTGGCTTGATCATCGTAGCAGGAAATCCTAATTTTGGTATTGAATTTTGGGAAAAGAATTTAAACAGCAAATTATTTTAAAATGCTTGAATTGTTTAACAAAAGCTCTAAGTTAAAATCTGATTTAAAAGCGAATAATGATAATTTTTATTGGAATATTTGGCAAGGATTAATTGAATATGCAAGAAAACTGGATATATATGATGAACAGTTAGGTAGAAGGCTTGCGATTAAACTGATTTTATATGAATCTCCCATAAGTACTATGGGTTTTGATGAAACTAATCAGAATCATATTGGTGAATTAGATATTAAAGTTGAGAGCGAATCTAATGACTTAACTCAAGTTAACAAGGTACATGGAAGTGGAAGTAGTTTAATTCATATAAATAATTTTAAATCACCTCAAGATTCTAACACCCAAGATGTAGAAATGACAATTGTTGAAGAAGAGACAGTAGACTATCACAATATACATGGGTATTCAAATCCTAATGAGATCAACGTTGAAACTGCCTACCAAGATATTATTGTGTCTGAGGACATGAAGACTTTAATAGAATTGAAAGATACTTGGGCAAAAAATAACCATGAAAAGTTCCGTTATATAAATGAAGACACTAG